TGTGCATACTATTTCATGAAAGGTATATATGCTTTCTACATGTGATCTGCTTTGTCTTCTCTCTTATTTAAAAAAAATAGTACTCATAACTCACTGAAGTGATGTCACAATTGACTAAGTTGATTTCACTACTCATTGATAGGTTATAATCAGCATTTGAACATTACAGATCTAGGTTCCTTGACCATTCCTGTGGTATGGAACAAGAGCACAGACTTTGTATCCTGGCCCCACTGTGTGACTGAGTGAGTGATACCCTCATCTGTGGAGGATCTTTGTGTGTTTTTTGATAATCATTAGAAGTCCAACATAATTCCTTACATGTAAATGATTAAGAAATGATAAATAACTACTTCCCACCACTATACTTAAAGACTAAATGAAATTGACTAACATTACAGGAAAGTAGACACGAAAACATTGGTTCAGAAAGAAGAGAGAAACAGAATAGACCAATAATCATAAAACAGATGGGAACCTCAAAGGGGCAGACCATGAGTTCTGCCAAAATATTAAGGAGTAAATAATGTGTATTTTAAAACAAACTGTTTCAGAGTATAGAAAAAAATGTGGAGCTATACAGTTTATTTTGCAAGGCTAGCGTAACTTTGCTAACAAAGCTAAGGAGAACACACAAAACAGATTTATAGGTCAGTCTTATTGAAAATACTGTTATAAAATACAACATTTATGATAAAAAGTCTTAGCAAATGAGGACTAAAAAATACTACTTTCAGTATTAAAAGGAATGTGCCAGAAATCTTTAGCAAACGCATATAATGCAGACATGAATTATGAAAGTAATTCCAGTAATAGGGAATTTCATTTTTTGTAATTATTATAATAATTTTTTAGGACTAAATTATATTTCTATTCTATTTAGGACTAAAAAAATTCTATTTTGCACTAAAACCAACAATATGTAATTGCTATATGGAGAAATTATACAGATAGATGGAACTCAAAAAATAACAATGAATGGGATGTCTCAGTAAAGACGTTACTCTCCAGCTCATATTCCAATTTCTTCTTATAATTCAATGCAATTCCAACTGATTTTTTTGTGAAACTTCAAAAATTTGTATGGAAGAATCAGTAAACAACAACCAAAGCCAGTTTGGAAAAACAAAAGAGGATCTTTTCCATCATGTCAAAAACATTTTATTGCTGTCAGAGTGGCGCAAGTGGTGGAGCACCTGCCTAGCAAGAAGGAGGCCTTGAGTTCAAGCCCCACTGCCAAAAAAATTATTTACATTATTTATAATGATTAAAATTGTGGTCTTGTTGCAGGGAGGAATTGTCACACATAGATGAGGCAAATTAAAGAATCCAAAACATGTCAGTTCAGTAAGTACTAAAGTTTATTTCAGATCAGCAGGAAAATGGATTTGATCATCTTTAAGCAGGGAAGGAGTTAAGACAGAAAAGTGAAAGCTATTTTAAAATGTTAAATGGTGGGACAGATCAGCATAATTTATGAACAGCATATCTTAGAAAATTAGTAAATCTAATTGAAAAATTGTAAGGAAATGTAAGTTGCCAAATTTATAACATATACAACACCCCCATTAGGAAAATGCAAGTTAAAATGTCACTGAGATAGTATTTTTACCTAAAGATTGACAAAAGTTAAATTTGATAGCAGAAGAGGACAAGAGAGGGGACAATTAAGTACTAGGTTCTATTGTAATTTAAGATGGAAATATCCTATGACCAACAATTACTCTTTTTAATACCTCCTTTTGTGATAGTAAACATGAACATGTAACATATAGTCACATGTTCAGTGCATTAGGATGTGTATAAATGGATCTTCATTGCAGCAATATTTGTCAAAACTTGGAAATAATTCAGTTGTCCCCTGAATAGGGAAATGAATAGATAAGTGAACTGAATTTATTATGGGATACTTTATAGTACTAAAGAGATTAAGATCGCTTTATGTGCCTTGCATGGAGCCCCAAAACACATTGTTCAACAGGAAAGATTTGTAACTTTACTAATAGAAGGATGCTGTTTCTGTTAAGTATGCCCCAGCATATAAAATGGATGGTGTATTTAGAGCTGGAAAATGAACCCACCATTTGTGAGTGAGAAGTATGCAGAACCGTGACCATGGATCTTGAATGCTATGCTCAAGAGTTTGGACTTTATTTTGTAGGTAGTTTAGTTTAGTTTACTTTGCTTTGCTGAGGAAGACCCAAAAAAGGTCACAGCGATTGATTAATTTACTATAATATGTAAGTGTATGGACTTAAAAATGGAATTTTGATGACAAATTTAGAAAGGACCTATCTCTTAGGAGATTATTATCCAAATTCATGAAACTGGTGTCCAAAGCCAGAAGTGCATTCATATGACATGAACTTTGTGACTCAGTATAGAATCTGAGGGAAGAGGTTAAAGTACAGTCTACTTGGTAGTACTGGACAGGGAAATTCATCTACATAATCTTTGCCACAGAAGAAATATATGGAGTTCCTGATGACTGACCTCCTAGTCCTCTCCCTGGAGGCTAATCTGCATGAGAAGTCTGGAAATCGGGAGGCTGCTTGATGAGCATGCAATCAGAGCAGAGTAGATAAATTTTTATTTAATGACATCAGAAAAGACAGCCATACTTGTTACTGAATAGGCTGTTCTTATTAATAGAACCCAGGTAACTCACACTCTGCAGCCTGAGGCTTCCTTCTCCAGGACAGTGACTGGATGGACAGTGACAATAACTGCCTTTGGAACTGCTTTTTCTGAGTTTCATTGCTCATCAGGTCCACTGAGGATTGGTGGTTACAGGTGGGAGTTGATGAGGCTGCACTTTGAAACTAAAATTGGGAGTTGTGAACAGCATAGAAAAAGTTTGGAGGTGTGAATAGCATAGAAGTTGGTGGTTGAGTGTAGAGTCTGAGGAGGAGGAGTTAAAGTGCAGTACAGTTTCTGCTACAAGTCAGGAAGAGCTTCAGTTAAAGGCAACCATGTGAGCAGAAGACACTCAGTAGGTACTTGGGACTGAAAAGCCTTAAAAATATGGTACTAGAGTAATCCACTGAGGCTTTCTGAGCAGGGAGTGATATGATGACATCTGTGCTTCAAGGCTGATAGTTAAATAACATTGGGGCTTAATCCTTCATGGCACTATGGAGGACTCATTTTTTTCTTTTTTGTTGATAATGGCTTATTCTAATTTTTCTGTTTTCAGCTGAGGATTTGGTAAGTAGTTATATATAAGCATTTCAGTTATTTCATAATTTCAAAAAATGTTCTGTAAGCCAGAGAAAATCCCTGCAATATTTTGTATTTAATATCCTTCAAAGGAATATATCTCAGAAAATTTATCCAATGTGATAATTGATTGTTTTGGTAGCCTTGCACAACATCAGCAATTATTCTGTAAAGCTTAAAGTAAATAGTTACTTGAATTAGAATTAAGTAATTGAAAAGAAGTTCTTTGTATAGTATATGGAAATATATATATTATATATTCATATTATATTAAATTAATATCAATATGTATTATATAATACACATATTTGGTGGTTCTGGGGTTTGAACTTAGGGCCTCATGTTCCTATGCAAGTGTCTACCACTTGAACCACATTCATAGCCTGGTTTTGCTTTAGTTACTTTTCAGGTAGGTTCTTGATTATGGCCAGCCTGGGACTGTGATCCTCCTACGTACAGCCTCCCGAGTAGTTGGGATCACAGGTGCATGCCACCATGCCCAGCTTACTGATATTGGGTCTAGCTAACTATTTATCTGATGAGCCTCAATCCTCCTGATTTCTGCCTCCTGAGTAACTTGGATTATAGATGTAAGCCACCTGCACCTACCTGGGAACTAGTTTTGATTTTTTTTTAAACTATAAAACAACATTCAAGTCTGGTAAGATGTTTTACACCTATAATTCCAGCACTTGGGAGGCTAAGGGAGAAGGATCTAGAGTTCAAGGCCAGTCTGGGTTAGATAGTGAGATCCTGTCTCAAAACAAATAAACAATCATAATGCTTTCTTTGGAAACATCATGTAAGATCAAAGAATCATAGAATCTGTAAGGTTAATAATAGGTTATATTAGATAATATTAGAGCATAAATCAATCTTGTTAATCAAGGAGCCACACAACTCTGTACCATCAAACACATTTTCAGGAAAAGCCCTAACTTTCTGACTGGCTGATGTGCCTGAGAAAAGTTTGGAGTTTGTAGACTACCTGACCTTTTCTCATTGTTAGGAAGGGAGCAATATTCTCTTGTGGCTATTAATTCTAGTTCTCTCCTTTTCTGTGTTTGTAACCCCTCCTACAACAGTGAGAACCTAGTTCACATTATCCTTAGTATGTAGACTCATTTGACCAATCTCCTGTATGTAATGAATCTCCCATCACTGCTACTATCCCCTAGCATTCATGGATATCCTCTTACCCTGCTTGGGCTATACATCCTAGGACAGGCCATCTCCCTGCCTTGTGTTCTCCTCATCTGCTCAAGCTATGGTCCTTATACCAGGCCATCTCTTTTACATAGACATCACCTCACAATATTCTGCTCTGCCTCTTGTGAGGCTACTGCTATATATGGATGTCTCCTTTCACTCAGGCTTTGCTTTCTATGCCTGGCCCACCCTTGTTTCCCTCCTTTTCCCACTCAACTCAGTACTCTGCTAGGCTCTTTTCTTTGTAGGTGTTGGCACAACTCTGCTCTGACTCTGACTCCACTCTGGGCCATCCCTTGTGGATGCCCACCACACTCTGCCTGAACCGTCAGCATTCTGACTCCACTCTGGGCCACCTTTCCACCCAAGTGGCTGTCCATCTTTATGGCTGTAGGAATGATTCTTGGAAGGAATGAAGGGGAAAAAGAGAGAAGAAAAAGGGAAAGGGGGAGGGAACCAGGAAGTTCATGCACTTTGAAAGAAAAAACTGAGCTTTTAAGTTACTCATTATCCTGTAGTACAGATAAATTAATAAATGCAATTTAAATACCTGCATCTTGTCTTTCAAACAGGTTATGAAGTTCATGGGATGGAAAAAATACCAGAAGAAGGACCAGCACTTATAATCTTTTACCATGGGGCTATTCCTATAGATTTTTACTACTTCATGGCTAAAATTTTTATCCACAAAGGCAGAACTTGCCGAGTAGTAGCTGATCACTTTGTCTTTAAAATTCCAGGTAAACTTCTGCTGCAAATAGCGACATAAAAGTGTCTAACATGGTCATATTGTGTGGTAGTCTGTCTTGGAGCTCTTTCATATCATCTGGAAAAGTTTTTCGCCTTTTTAAAATAAAAACAAACTTGCAGTTCTAATTTGAAAACATCTAATCCTACTTAGGCAATATATCTAAAAATAAAAACATTGTACTAAAAACTGCTATCTAATATTTTTCCTTCCTTCTCCTGTTTTCCTCCTTCCCTTCCTTTCTTTGACATGGTCTCCCTAGCTGCCCAGGCTAGCCTTCAACTCCTGGTCTCAAGGGAGATTTCTGCCTCAGCCTCCCAAGTAGCTGAGACTATACGTGTGTGCCACCAGTATAGCTTAAATCTGTCTTCTTTATTTCTTTCTCTTTTCTTTTCTTTCCTCTCTCCCTTTCTGTCTCTCTCTCTCTCTGTCTCTTTTCTTTCTCCTTTCTCTCTGTCTGTCTCTTTCTTTTTTTCTTTCATTCTCACACTCTGTTTTCTTTTCTCTTTCTTCCTTTCTTTTTCTCTTTTTCTTCCTTCCTTCCTCTCTCTCTCTGTCTCTCTTTTTCTTTCATTCTGTCTCTCTCTATCATTTTTCCTTTTTCTTTCTTTTTCTTGGGTCAAACCCAGGGACTTGCCTATGCCAGGCAAGTACTCTACCATTGAACTACATCCCTAGCCCAAATCTTTAGCTTCAAAAATTAACTATAATTTTTGTAAAACAATGTATATTTTGGCATAGGAGGTTTTTTCATATGATGAGCTCTTTTCCCAAGATAATTTTTGTAGCTTAAGTTTACTGTTGTTAGGGTTTAATAGCAAATCAAAATTAGGTTAAAATAGCCAGGATAAGTTTTATCTTCAATGTGTACACTCTACAGAGTCTCTTATCATACACAACTTATCTTATAGGCTTAAACTCTTAAGATTGAGGACTACATTTTGTAAATCTGCTCATAAAGATTTTGTACTTTTTAAAAAAGATTAACTAGCCTAATGGTTTCAGACACGATCGAGTTTTGGTTTTTAAAAAAACATTTTTAACTCTTGTTTTCTTCTGTCACTAAGTCATTAGAAACAACCAAGAAGGTTGATAGTGTATTTTCTGGAACAATAAAAGCAAAGCTGATCCACCAACCAAACAGACTCAAACCAAGCAGTGAATTAAGTAATATGTACTCAAGTGCTTTTCATAGACATGGTTAGTGTTCTGGGTATCATTGTGTCACTAAATACCCATTTGTACTTCATTTATAAATTAAATTGGCTATAAAGTTTTCCTTTAAAAAGTAATATGACCACTTTGTAATGGATCAGGAAACTAGAAGAACATCTTTGTAATCTTATCATCCTAACATAACCGATTAACATTTTGAATTATTTTATTTATTTTTAAATCTTATATCTTCACATATATTGCAAACAATTTTGTGAGTTTAAAAAAAAAAGATTTAATGTAAGCATTAACATGTTACCATGTCTTACAAGGACTTGGCTTTTTGTTTTGTATTTGTGGTGCTGGGGATGGACCCAGAGCCTTGCACATGCTGACAGCCAAGCGCTCTGCCACTGAGCTACATCTCCAGCCTGGAACAACTTTAATATATGACTAAAATATTAAAGTTGTCAATATTGAAATGGCTATTCATCAGCCATTTTTCTCTTACAGAATATTGGGTTGCTTCCATTTTTTTCCTTTTTGTAACTAACAAAATGTGAATAGTTTTTAGCTTTTTCAAAAAATTTTCCCCTTATGACTCTTGTAACATTTTGACATTGACTTGCCTTAAGTCCTTTATTGCTTTCTGAAAGTATAAAATTATTGTAAACCTGGGTGCAAAAGAGAAGATTTTATATTATTCTTGTAACTTATAAAACCTCCCTTTTCATTCATTCATTATGAGTACGTGTCTAGTTAAATTCGTGAGCTTTTAATACATTTAAATCTTAATATTTATAATCTTGCTTCAGATCTTTAAACCAATGAGAAGCTTGTTTAATCTGCAGAGTTTTTAGCACCTATCTCTGTGTTTTTCATTCTTAAGAAGTAATACACATAAACTAACATTCCTAAACTTCCAGTTTCAGATTTTATTAAAAATTTTAATTACTGACAGAATTACATCTTTCATTCATAAATAGTTGTAATTTGAAAAGCTGTATAATATTAAGATTTGGAATTAGCTGTTCTTGAATCAAATACCCTCACTTTATTAAAAATGCTGAATGATGTTTGCTATTGTTACTAATTTTTTAAAATTCTAATTATAGGGTTAACTTTGTATAAGTTGGTTTGATTTTAGTCTTGCCACTTTGGGTAGTGCAAAACATAGAATCACATTGTCTCTAGTGGTTCTTTCTTGAGGTTAATGTGAAATTAGATTTGTGATTTCTCCAGTAAGTGCTTTAGAATGTGTTTGACATGGGATGCAGTAGAAGGAGCTTTGGGCTGGACATAACTAAAGAAAATCTCTATTCTGCCACTTTAGCTGTGTGACTTCGAACATGCTGTATCACTTCTGAGCCCAAATTCCTCTGTAAAATGAAGAGAGGAATCCCTGTTTTTCGCGATGGTCATGTTCATTAAGAATTTGAGTAGTACATGATTAGGAAGATAACTGTTACTTTGCAAGCAATATTAATCTTAAGTTAACCTTACAAGTTGTTGATTTTATAAAATAAAAAAGTTGACAGAAGTATAGATAGTAAATCATATAGTTAGGAAGATTTTTGCTCTTGAAGAACCGAAAAACAAGTACTTAAGGTATATCTTTGTGCTCATGTTTCTTATAGGATTTAGTTTATTACTTGATGTATTTTGTGCTCTACATGGACCAAGAGAAAAATGTGTTGAAATTCTGAGGAGTGGTCACTTGTTAGCTATCTCACCGGGTGGAGTTCGAGAAGCCCTAATGAGCGATGAAACCTACAACATTGTATGGGGCAATCGTAAAGGCTTCGCTCAGGTCGCAATTGATGCAAAAGTGGTGAGTTGTAGAAAGGAAATTATTCAAGTAAAGCTTAGTCAAATTTAAAATAAATACTTCAATTCTGAGCCAAAGTAGATAAGAACGTAACCCTTTTGTTGCAATACTTTAAAAATTATATAAAACAATAAGGTATCAATAGTGGAAATATTCCTTGTATATAAGTAGCTACCCTAAATAAAATTAATCTGGAAATTTGTCAGATATACAACAAAGTTTTATTTTACAGTTCAAAATCCAGCTTTTCATCAGACTTGTAATTTTACACAAATAGTGTTGTTGGTCCTTCAGTTACTCTTTTTTTTCCCATAAGCATAATTAGTCCAATTTTACGTATTTTAAACTTTTGGTGCCTTCTGTACAAATGAGTGGTATATTGCAGTTATGGATGCTGGTTTTTTTCTCTTTCTCTCTCTTTCATTTCTTTCTTCTTTTTTTCTCCCCTTCATTTTTGAGACAGGGTCTTGCCATGTAACTCAGGCTCACCATGAACTCACAGTCTTCCTGCCTCTGCCTCCCAAATGCGGCACCACCATGCCTGCCTGGATGATGATTTCTTAACAGCTCTTTTATCTTTGACTAATTTTTAAAATAAGATACAGTTAGTATGTGACTCTTTTTTATTTTTTATCAGCAGATGTTATCAGCTATAACTTGTGGTATAAAGATAAATAGACTGGTAACCAAGAACTGGTGGCTCATGCCTGTAATTAGCTGTCTGTGAGGCTGAGATTGGGATGATTGTAGTTCAAGGCCATCTGGGGCAAACAGATCTTGAGACCCCCTCTCAGATGCAGATAACTGGGCATGCTGGCACATACCAGCCATCCCTAGCCATGTGGGAGGCTAAGATTGGGAGGATTTCAATTCTAGGCCAGCCTTGGGATAAAAGTTTATAAGCCCCATCTTGATGGAAAAAAAGCTGGCTGTGGTGGCATGTGCTTGTCATCTTAGGGATGGTGAGAATCTTAAAATAAGGATCCCAGTCCAGGCCAGACTGGGCAAAAACAAGACCCTGTCTCCAAAATAACCAGAGCAAAAAGTACTGGAGGTATGGCTCAAGTGGCAGAGCACCTGCCTTGCAAGTGAAAGCCCTGAGTTCAAAGCCAGTATTGCCCCCTGCTCCCATAAAAAAAAAAAAGAGATTGGTGTACTTTAAATATTTTAAAAACACTTTCCAAATAAATATTCCAATAAAATTTAAGTGTTCCTCTGGGGATCACTGTAATTCTGCTTAATAAACTGAACAATGTGGATGCTATTTTGTTTTTCCTCTTTTGCCTTTGGAGTGTATTTCTGAACTTTTTGGTCTCCATCTTATACTTCATCCTAAGAAGTACTTATCTTTTCCTTATGAAATGTTTCTCCTTTGTTGCTGTTAATTGTTATTTTAGATTGTCAGATAAAGAAATTGTAATGCCCTCAATAGATTGTTGTTCTTTTTCTAGGCCTTTTACTTAAAGACTGCTGCTAGTGACTTTGACATTTAAGGTTTTCTGTGTCCCCACTACTGCTACATAAAGAACCAGTGTGTACCCTTCTTGATTGCCCAGCTTGCAAATATGGACTGTTGATTGAGAAAGAAAGATTCTGGATGAGTCCTGTTGACCATAGAATAATGTTTGAAGAAGAATGGATGTTTTTTTGTTTCAATTGAAAGAGCTATAATAAAATACACTGAGCTCTTTTCTTTCCTGTACCTATGTATATATGGAACTCCTGGAAGTTATTGCTGTAGTGTCTTCATAATGTGAATCTAGTCCGAGTTCATGTATTTTCCCAAGTGCCTAAATAACATAAACATTTAACAGTACTGTCCAATAGTAGATTATAAGCTCCTTGAGGGCAAGAATTTTATATTCAAATCCTTAGGTCAATGGCCAACTTTGAGTAGGCTTTAAACATTTGTTGAATTGACCTTTTTTAGAGACAGAATATTATACATGAGTGGAAAGGAGCCTTTTGAAATTGATTTTATGTTAATAGATTTTATATTAATAGTGTTAGTTATATAGAAAATTGACTGATAGCACATTTTACTTATTTTCCAAAAGTCATAAGCATTGATGTAGAAAACAAAAATTTAAGACTATGTGCAGTTTATAAAAGGCTATGTGCAGTTTATAAAAATTAAGGACAATCAAAACTAAGACCTAATTAAACTAAAGCCTGAAGATAGTTCACTTTTCAGATTTTTATTTTGAAAGAATTATTTCCCACAAGTTTAAGATAAAGATTATAAAACATAGATTTGAAATCACATAAATTCATCATGATATTCTAATTCTTCATCCTAAATTTACATTTTAAAACAGCATATTGCTTAGAAGAAGGCCTAAAATTATATAAGGAAACAACTCATTTGGTAATCCTTGACTTTTTAGATGTCAAGATAATTCAGATAATTTAGCTAAGGATTTGTATAAAACTGTAGAAAATTTAAGAAATAGCCTTTTACAGTGAAAAAACAAGCAAAACTCTTTGATGCTCTGAATTTACAAAGTGACCTTGTAAGTTTGATAAATATTGAGTCAGCCCACATTTTGTAGCATTTTTGAAGATTTTATCTTGGTACTCGTGCACAGTGAGGAGGTGACATATGTAATATTCCAATGTTACAGATGAGGAGACTCAGGCACAGAGAGATGGAGGGATGGAAGGGATCTGGTCACACAGCAAGGCAGCAGCAGAGCAGAGCACAGTTCAGGACTCGAGGCAACGGTGCTGTTGCCATCTGACTACATTTCACAGTGAGTCTGCTGACATCTGAGCTCAAAGGGGCCTTCCAAATACTTGAGGGAACTCATTTAGTAAAATATGAACATCATTGTAAATGATACAAATATCCCTGGAAACTTAAATATTACCTTCAAAATCCTTGATAAACAACAAAATTATCATCAGCTATGAGTAAAAAGTGAAGACTATTGTTGCAGGATTAACTACCTTTAAATAATGACTGCTGGTCTGAGGGTGTAGCCTGGTGTGGGTGAGGCCCTGGATTTCATCTCCAGCATTGCAAAATCATCATTGTAATAAATTATGACATACCAACAAATTAAGAAGGAGAAATCTGGAAAGTTGATATATTTCATAAATCGTTCCTTTTTGTGAATTCCTGAGAATTAGAACTTTGGTAAGAATTTATTGGTAACTTCATATCTAAATAGGCTAGGGAAAATTAGCACATTTAATTGAAATTTTAACATAAAATTTTGTTTCAATAAAGTCATTTGTGTATTATCTCTTAATCTATAAAAAACCTTGGAGATACAGGTGATTATTGTTCCTTATCCCCATTGTAAACATGAAGAAGGCCTAGATGTGGTAAGTATCTTGTCCAAAGGTTTTCACATTTTTAATAGCAGAAGGAAGACTCTAGATGCCTCAAGAATTGTTTTAACTAATTAGTTTATTTATTTATTCATTTATTTTTGAGGCATGGTCTCTCTGTAGCACAGGCTGGCCTAGAACTTGTAATTATCTTCCCTCAGCCTTCCAAGTACTTGGATTACGGGCATGGACCATACCTGGCTCCCAGGAATAGTTTTTAAAATGTCTCATGTACATCCAGAGACACGTGTATATATTGAAACAATTGAATTCTAGGTTCCTGTGCAACTGTCTTATATACAAAGTACAAACAAGGAAAGGCTTAAATGTACTTATTTGTTTGTAGTAAGTTGATGCTTATGGCTTTAAGGATGCAAGTTTGAATGACAGTTTTGAAACCATAGATCCAAGAGTATAGCATAGATGATTACTAATCCTGCTTGGGAAAGTGTTCTATCAAGTGGGTTCTAGAAATGTCTATTTCCATAGGGTTAAATATTTAAGGAATGATGTTGAACCTAATAGTCTTTGTGAAGTCCATATTTCAATACGGACTCCTGGGATTACACCAGTCAGTAACAGAGTTAGTCCAGCAGTACTGGGCAAGAGAAGAAAAGCTGTGTGTCTATGACCTGAAGAATTTGTGTTCCCTCTTGGGCATTCTGAGTTTTCAACTCTGAAGACATTTTGTAACTGTTTAAAACATTAGGATTTCAGCCATCATTTTATTTCACAAAACAAGTGGTCATTTCCTAGATCTGAGCTTTTGTTTTTTTGTTTTAACAAAAGAATTCCCTGCTCTTTATAATTTTATGTTTTGTGAATTAACTTCCATTGAATTTTAAATAAATATGACTTCTTTCATTACCTGACTTTTTTTTTTCTTAACCAATTTTGAGATTGCTGCTGCCTATTTCTGACCTCTGTATTCAGAGAATACAGATTAACTCATTAGAAGCATTGTTTCTCTGTGCTGCTGCTTCATTCCTTTAATTCACCAATCAGTTTCCTTTGGCTCTTCATCTAATCCAAGTCCAGTTCTAGGTGCTAGGAATACAGCAGTGCACAAAATAAAGTCCTTACAATATATTACGTATCTTTCTTCTGGTAAGAGGAGAGATCCAATAAGTGATCAGTTAGTTGTATGTGAGGCAGTAAGTATTATGATGAAAGCATACCTGTGTTTTCTTCCCTTATTATTCAAAAGTCTACCATATTTTCAAAAGATGAACAAGAAAGACTTTTAAAATATCAACTTATTTAAATATCTTAAACCCTGCTTTTTAAGGCGGGTAGTTTTATATTAGGCATGTATTGATAATTCTGAAAGTACTATAGTATTGGCTACTCACACACATACACACAGAGTTTTATCCTAGAACATTTAATTCAATATATTTGTTTATATGTTACGGTATTTTACTCAATTTTTTAATCTACTTGAGTATTCACAGTGGCATAACCTCCCAAAATGATACTTCATGATATTTTATGACATTTAATGTTTCTATTATTAAAAATCACACTTAATCATTGATATTCATGGAAAAATAAAAATAAACCTGTGAGCAGAAATCCTCTAAATCAGTAATATAAAGCATTCTTTAATACATATACTTTTCCTCTTTTCTTTTTTTAGAAGTGAGTCTTATATGTACTATTCATTGATGTTGAACATTTTAGGTGTAATAGGCTCACAAAAAATGGTATTTTACTAAATCTATGACAACATCTTACCAAAATCCTTACAGAGAATCTATATCTTAATGTTTCTTCAATGAGCATGCTATTCAGGAGCCCACTAAAACCAATTTACCACATTCATTTTTAAATGAAATTAATGATTATTATGATCTCTATTTTGAATTTTAATAATTTATGTGAATTATTAAGAGAATTGATAAATGTTATTTATTGCCACTGGAGGGTAGTTTTTCCAATTTATACTTTTACAAATGATCAAGCCGAATTTAGTATAATAAATCACACTCGTCAAGTGTGCCTTTATTTTTAAAATCTTATTTTCATAATTTTAAACTGGCCCTCAAAAGTTTGCTTTAGTGACTCAGTGGAGACTTTAAATGGATCTATTTATTTACTTTTTAATTCAAATTCTTTTCTTTAGCCCATTATTCCTATGTTTACACAAAATATTCGAGAAGGATTTAGATCACTTGGAGGAACAAGTAAGTTCTTATTCATATGGTTTTTAATTACAGTGTAACACTTAAAATATTTGGGGTTTTGAACCTACAGGAAAACTTTTGAATTGTTAAATTTAGAAAAATGAATGTATTATTTAGATGTTATTCTATATAAAGTCCAAATGATAACTGGTTCTAAGTAATAGCAATTCTTAAATGTTATATTTTTGTTAGGATTATCATATACATACTGAGGCATATTTTTAATGGACCTTTTAAAATTTCAAAGTGATTTATTTATTGTGTTAAACCATGTTGCTGAGGTTTAGAACAAATTTATATACTGTCTTTTTAAGTTAACCATGAAGAAGATAACTTTTAAAATGGTAACCTACATATCAAAAATGGATAACCTACATATCGAACTAAGATTAATAACCTAACATGTCATTTATTTGCTTTGGTTTATTTCTGTCACTTAAAAAATATTTTGGACGTAATATATTTACTTTGGAAAGTTCTTTTATCTTCCCCTAATTTATCAATTAAAAATTAACCTGTATTCCAGTTATAGGAATGACAACTGGATGAGTTTTTTCTTTGCAATGTCTCTGTTTTCTTATTTTTAAATGTTTAGTTTGTTTTTCTACTCCATTATTTGTATTTATATTCAATTGGTTATATTTTATATGCCTACCACTATAGTTGTTATTGTTCCTTTCCAAATAGTCTTCTTTTTAAAGAGTTTTAGATTGCTATTATTATAAATCTTAATTTTTCCTTAGACTTAAAGTACAAGGGGACTTTGATGTGATATTTAACTTTTATTTTGGAATTATTTATAATTCTTTCTTAGTCTGTTTCTTTTATAATGGCAAACCAGAAATTATTCCAAAAATTTGTTGAATTTTAAATTGTTTTTAAAATTCCTTTTGACTGCTTCTTAATCTTTCTTGACTTTAAAGCTCAGTATCTCAAGAATTAGTGTCTAGGGATTTTTTTGAAAATTTTTGAGTGTTATTGTGGGGTGTGATTTTATATTTCGTATTTTCATATATAAAAGATGTTTTCAGCTTTCAATTCGATACATGATTATATAGTCCATGTGGCTTACCTTTTTGTATTCCTTTGATGTTTTTTGGTTTTGTTTTTTTTTAGCTTTAGTCCATCTTTTATTTTACATTTTTATTACTTTTTAATTTAACTCTGCTAAGTTTCAAACTTGGTCACTAGCATTCATAATTCTTTGATTTGTTAGTCTGTTTTTCCTAATTTACAATAATGTTTTGTGGTCTTTACATAGCTTTTCAGTGCTTTAGTCTCATGTTTACATAAATGTATGCTTCCTTGTTTTTCTCATTTATACACGGAAGATACTTATTTTGAGTCTCTAGGCTTTTGAGTTTCCAGGTTTGGGTTGCACTCTTAACTGTTTGCTCTGCAGTAATAACTGCTTTTTCTTCAGATTCTCATATTAAAAATCTTACCTTTAACAGACTTATTTTTTTCATTTTTAGATTTACAGAAACAGTTGAGCATGGGGTATAGAGAGTTCTTATATTCATCCTCTCACCATTCTCCAGCTTCCCCTGTCATTAGTATCTTGCATTAGTGGTGGTGTATTTGTGGTATATATGGATGAAAAGGTCATCTTTAAAATAAAATTATGTTAATTATAAGAAGCGATATGTTTTGCTACCTTCCTCCTAAGACTTGTATAATTAATTTGAAAGTTTATAATTACATGCTTAGAGTATTTAACCAGTAAAAATGATTTTGTTTACTTTAAAACAGGGCTATTTAGGTGGCTTTATGAAAAATTTCGCTATCCATTTGCTCCAATGTATGGGGGTTTTCCTGTGAAGTTACGGACCTATTTAGGTGATCCCATTCCGTATGATCCAAAGATAACAGCAGAAGAATTAGCTGAAAAGGTAAAATTACATTATTAGATGTAAAATGTCACTATTCATCTGTGTATTCAACAAGTATGTTCTATGTCAGAGGTTCTCAAGCAGCAATTTTGTCCCATAGCAGATGTTTGGCAGTGTCTGGTGCCTTTTTATTGTTGTTGTTGTCATGATGGGAAAGAGTTGGGGTGGGCAGTGCTACTCACATTTAGGGGCAAGAAGAAGGATAGCATTTATAGCCAACCTACAGGACATGTAGGCATATGTTTCTATATGTAGGTTTTTGGAACTATTGCCCGGAGTTAGGAAAGGAAGTCAGATTTTGTGAAGATTTAGAAGTCATTTTCTTTGTGGTGGTGGCTTGAAGCTCGTTTTACCAGGCAGGCTAGAGAGAGAATGAGGTGGATTGAGGGCAGACTCCAGGGGGTGCAACACTTGTAGAGCAAGTCAAGGAAGGGGAACAGTGATAGGTGACTGGAGGAGAATTGAATTGGCAGAGCGGTAGGAAAGTAAGTAATCTGTGTGATAGAAGTCAGATGAGATTTTTAAAAAAGTGGTAGGGATCAGTAAGAGTTCTTATAAAGAGATCAAGGAAAATGACGATAAGAAAATATCATCCAACTTGTAATTACACTTTCAGAAAGTATAAAGATACAAAAAAAGCAACAAATGTAATGTTATTGAATCACTTAGAAAATGTTTTATGACTTTTTACCAGCATTTGACATATATACTAATCTGATTTATTTAAAAAATTTTTAAGTATGATAGTAGAAAAGCACATAAACTTAGAATCTTAACTATTTTCAAGCATACAGTTTATTTCTATTAAGTCCTTTCATGTTGCTGAGCAATACATCTCTAGAAACTTCTTTTGCAAGACTCTGCACCCAGTGGACACCAGCTTCCCATTTCTTCCTTATGGAAAACCATTGCTCTACTTTTTGCTTCTTAGAGTTTGACTGTTTTACATAGCTTACATGAGTAAAGCCATACAGGTTTTGTCTTCATCTGCTGTTGGACACTTAGATTGTTTCTACTCCTTGGCTATTGCCATTGTATATGATGCTTCAGTCAACATGGGTGCATGGGGTTGCCAAATTATTTGCCAGTTCAATTTTCAATTTTTCTAGGAACCCTCGTGCTCTTTCCACATTGGCTGTTGCCACACAATGCACAGGGTTTTAATTTCTCCACAATTTTTTATTTTAGTTTTTTTGTTTATTTTGAACAACAAAATATTTTGGGGACACACTAGTCTGAACTAACCTCAACCAATGCCTTCTTTTGGTTGTTTGGTTGTGCCTACCAGAATCAGTTTAAAAATTGAAGTTACAATTAAAAATAAAATTATTTTCACATAGATTTAGCAATTATTCCAGAGTTCACTCCACAATCTTAATCTTTCATTTTGTTTCTGAACACAATTTATTGTCAATACTTATTATCTATTTTGTTTTATATTAATTATCTTTGTTTGCTTGTTTTGGTTGGACTGGGGTTTGAATTTGGAGCTTCACACTTGCAAATCAGGCACTCTGCCTCCTGAGCCACACCTCCAGTCCACTTTTGCTCTGTTTATTTTGGAGATGGGGTTTTGAGAACTATAGCCTCATCTGGCCTCAAACCACTGTTTCCCAATCTCAGCCTCCCAAGTAGCTAGAAGCACAGGCATGATCCACCAGTGACTATGCTTGTTTTTATCTTTAGTTAGTGGCCATCCTAAAGAGTATAAGATAATATCTCATTGTGGTTTTGATTTGCATTTCTCTAATGGTTAATGGTATTGAGTAGCATTTTTTCATATTCTTTTAGCCATTTGTGTGCATTTCAAGTCATTTACCCAATTTTTAGTTAAGTTACTTGTTGTTAAGCTGTTGAACTTTTTAATGTATTTTGTATATTAACCACTTATCAGATGTGTGCTTTGCCAATATTTTTTTTCTCGTTCTGTAGGTTCCTTTTTACTTTGTTGATTGTTTTTTGTGATGTGCAGAAGCTTTGAGTTTGATGTAGTCTCATTTGTCTATTGTTACTTTCTGGCTTTTAGTGTATTATCTAAGAAATCATTGGCAAACTCAAAGTTATGGAGCTTTCACCTATGTTTTTGTCTAGGAATTATTACTGTCTTTAGTTTTAGATCTCATGTTTTATACTTTTAGATCTTACATTGGGTCTTTGATCCATCTGAATTAATTTTTGCAAACTGTGTAAGGTCCAGCTCTCTTTGTTCATTCTTTTGCATGTAGGTATTGAGTTTTCCCAATACCATTGCTGAAGAGTCTTTACTTTTCCCATTGTGTGGTCTTGGCACTCTTGTTGAAGATCATTTAGCCATATAACATGAGGGTTTATTTTGGGCTCTATTCCATTCCACTGACTTTTCTGTCTTCCTGCCAATACAACACTATTTATTGCAGCTTTGCATTATTATTTGAAATTAGGAATTATGAGTCCTGTAGCTTTGTTTATCTTTTGCAAGATTATGTTCACTATTCTGTGTCCCTTCACATTCCATGTGAATTTTTGTTATTTATTTTTCTATTTCTGCAAAAAAGTACCATTAGAATTTGATTGGGATTGTAATGAATCTTCAGATTGCTTTGAGTAGTTTGGGCATTTTAACCATATTAAGTCTTCCAATTCATGAACATGAATGTCTTTCTATTTATTTGTGTTTTCTTTAATTTCTTTTAGTAAGTTTTGTAGTTTTCAGTGTCCAAATCTTTCTTCTCCTTGGTTAAGATTATTCCCAAATATTTTATTCTTTTTGATGCTATTATTTTCTTATTGTCCATTTCTGTTTTCTATTCCTCTTGTTTAATTGTTCACAGTGTGTAGAAACACAGCTGATTTCCATGTGTTGATTTTATATCTTGTAACTTTATTGAATTTGTTTATTCTGTCTTCTTGTGAAACCTTTAGGATTTTCTAAATATAAGATCATATCATTTGCAGAGATAACTTTGCTTCTTTTCTGTATATAATCTTATTTAATCCTTACATCAATCTGTACTGTAGATATTATAATTACTGCTTTACAAATGATAAAAGTGGCTGGCTATTCAGTCAGCATTATGAGGTTATACCACTGTTTTATTTATTTATTTATTTTTTAATTTTTATTTTTTTATTATTCATATGTGCATACAATGCTTGGGTCATTTCTTCCTCCCACCCCCACCCTCTCCCTTACCACCCACTCTGCCTCCTCCCCCCCCACCCCCTTGATACCCGGCAGAAACTATTTTGCCCTTATCTCTAATTTTGTTGAAGAGAGAGTATAAGCAATAATAGGAAGGAACAAGGGTTTTTGCTAGTTGAGATGAGGATAGCTATACAGGCAGTTGACTCACATTAATTTCCTGTGCATGTGTGTTACCTTCTAGGTTAATTCTTCTTTATCTAACCTTTTCTCTAGTTCCTGGTACCCTTCTCCTATTGGCCTCAGTTGCTTTTAAGGTATCTGCTTTAGTTTCTCTGCGTTGAGGGCAACAAATGCTAGCTAATTTTTTAGGTGTCTTACCTATCCTCACCCCTCCCCTGTGTGCTCTCGCTTTTATCATGTGCCCAAAGTCCAGTCCCCTTGTTGTGTTTGCCCTTGATCTAATGTCCGTATATGAGGGAGAACATACGATTTTTGGTCTTTTGGGCCAGGCTAACCTCACTCAGGTTGATGTTCTCCAATTCCATCCATTTACCAGCGAATGCTAACATTTCGTTCTTCTTCATGGCTGCATAAAATTCCATTGTGTATAGATACCACATTTTCTTGATCCATTCGTCAGTAGTGGGCATCTTGGCTGTTTCCATAACTTGGCTATTGTGAATAGTGCTGCAATAAACATGGGTGTGCAGGTGCCTTTGGAGTAACCTGTGTCACAGTCTTTTGGGTATATCCCCAAGAGTGGTATTGCTGGATCAAATGATAGATTGATGTCTAGCTTTTTAAGTAGCCTCCAAATTTTTTCCAGAGTGGTTGTACTAGTCTACATTCCCACCAACAGTGTAAGAGGGTTCCTTTTTCCCTGCATCCTCGCCAAGACCTGTTGGTGGTGGTGTTGCTAATGATGGCTATTCTAACAGGGGTGAGGTGGAATCTTAGTGTGGTTTTAATTTGCATTTCCTTTATTGCTAGAGATGGTGAGCATTTTTGCATGTGTTTTTTGGCCATTTGAATTTCTTCTTTTGAGAAAGTTCTGTTTAGTTCACTTGCCCACTTTATTGGTTCGCCAGTTTTGGGAGAATTTAGTTTTTTAAGTTCCCTGTATATTCTGGTTATCTGTCCTTTGTCTGATGTATAGCTGGCAAATATTTTCTCCCACTCTGTGGGTGTTCTCTTCAGTTTAGAGACCATTTCTTTTGATGAACAGAAGCTTTTTAGTTTTATGAAGTCCCATTTATCTATGCTATCTCTTAGTTGTGCTGCTGGGGTTCTATTGAGAAAGTTCTTACCTATACCTACTAACTCGAGAGTATTTCCTACTCTTTTCTGTATCAACTTTAGAGTTTGTGGTCTGATATTAAGATCCTTGATCCATTTTGAGTTAATATTGTACCACAGTTTTAAATCACCACAAAATCTTAAGAGGCTTACAATTTACTTCTTCATGTTACGTTTCCCCTGAGGCTCAACTGCAGCTTTGTCAGTGTCTTCTTTGCCTTGGGATTTAGGCTGAAAGGAGAACACTATATGGGATGTTGCTGTTTGCGTGGTAGAGGAAAAGGTGAGATGTAGAAGAGGGGGTGGCCCTTGAAGCTTCTCTTTGAAAGTGACCCATTCACTTTCACTGTGTTTTTATTGGCCAAAGCAGTCACAGGCCATAGTAGACTTCTGTGAGGCAGGACCTAAACTCCTGCAAGGATAGCCTGGTAGGGAAAATGAAAGAATAATACACCCTGCTGTGTTGGGACTTACCAAGTCTGGTCACTTTGGAAAGGTTGTACAGCTGAAGCAGGTGTAATACTGTGTTAAAGGGAACTGTTTATATAGAGTAGTTGATGTGGAAGACTTTTCACAAAAG